AACGCAGGTCTGCAAACGAATGGAGCAGCTGGAGACAGAGAAGAACTGGAGGATGGAACAGGAGAGGGAGCAGTTTGCTACAGAGGGCTTTTTTACAGGGTTAAAGGCAGGATAGGTGCAGCGAGTGGGAACAGGGTACTGACATGCGGTAGATAGCCAAGTATACTCGGCTGTAACTGGAGGAGCTGGTGGGAATACAGGAGTAGAGTTAGAAGCAGGACTGGGTCTTTGTAAGCTGACTGAGGCTGGGTGCAACAAATCTGTCCATGTCTGCAGTAGGGGTTGAACAAAGCTGAGCTTACACAAAGTCTGTCTGGTCATGACTGCACTGCGTTTATACAATCTCTCAGTGTCTGTGGTGAACATGTGGAATAACGCTCCAGAAAGTAACCCACATCATCCTCTAATAACCACACCAGGGACTCTACCTGGTCTGCACTAAATGGTGGCAAAAATTCATCCCTGCATTCGGGGGAACCAGATGAAACCAACTCTGCACAAACCTCAATCAATGGCTGCACCTCAGAGAACACTGTGCCCTGATCTACTAGAACATGAGCGAGCCGTATACATTCTAGCAATTCATCCCGGGTATACTCCTTCAGAGTTTGATAAGCATACTCCCTGTCATCAAACACTAGCAGATATAAATACTCAACCTCCTCAAGATCCATCCTTCCCATCAACAAGCCAAGATGGCTTCCCTGTGCAGCCACTTCTGGTCAGGATTGGCCTTGGTGTAATGTCAGGGCTCCCAGGTATGACCAGAGGTGTGTGACTGAAGCAGGGAAACGCAGACCTCAGATATGTTATAAACAATATAATTTATTAACACTAACAGTACAAACATAAACGCAGTGCAATACTAAAACATAATACGGTGCAAACAAACCAAACCAAACCACCCACAGATAACAGTATATACAAAGCAAGCGTCGTCAGGCAGGCCGGGTCAATATCAATTGGGCAGGTAGGTACAGGGGGAGCAAGCGGAGAATGGTCGGGGTCACAGGCCAGGTTCAGCAGGTAGCAAGCAGCATAGTACAGAGGGTCCACAGGCAGAGGGATGGTCCCGGGTCACAAGCCAGGGATCAGAACAGGTAGCAAGCAGCGTAGTACAGAGGGTCAGACAGAGGGATGGTCAGGGTCACAAGCCAGGATCAGAGCAGGAGAAGTCAGCAAAGGAACAGAAACAGGATGCAGGACAGATACAGGGCCCAGGACAAACACAACACCAAGGCAGAGTCTGCAAGTCTGGCCATCCCTTAAATACCCCAGTATCATCAGTTCCAGGTGTTAGCTGGCTGAAAGGTTGAGTCTCTGATTGCTGGGAGCACCCGCTGGCCAGCCCTGGTACTGCAGATCAAAAGGCAGGTGAGTCCCACCATTGCTGGCCAGTCCATTCCTAACAGAAAGCTGAAACCCAGCCACCACTAAACAAGATACATAAATTTAAACATCAAGACTGGGCCAAGAAATATCTTGAGACAGATTTTTCAAAGGTTTAATGGACTGTTTCTGTGATCACACCCCAATATCTTAGCAATTTCAAGAGGGCTGCTTCCCCTTGAAAGGCTTTTTACAATTTCTGACTTTTCAGAGGCAATTAAATCTCTTTTTTTGGCCCTTTTTCCCTGAGGAAAAGAAGATGCCTAATAATTATGCACACTTTGATATAGGGTGTTGATCTCCTTAGGTCACATCCTCCCTCATTACACAAATAGACATCAACTGATATGCGTAAATCTAATAAGCATTCAAGTTAATACAGCTTGGAGTTGGACAATATGAATAAAAATGATGATTTGGTCAAAAAAACTCACTTGCCTAATAATTGTGCATGCAGTGTCATTACAAGCAGATAGCAAAATTCACTACTGCTAATGCATAACTCTGGTGAAAAACATGTATCCAACAATTTCTATGGCTATCCAGTTGTAAACATGTCAAAGAAAAAACTCTTTAACAGTTTGCCCAAGCCAATGCAGGGGCTGTCCACGGTTATGTAATGGGATACACTAATTGGCAGGCAATTTTATCAAGTTATCTGAAAATAAAATAGCCAAATAAAGAACTTAGCCATCAAAGTACCTTTGTATACATGTCACATATACCATCAGTTGTTCTACAGCGTAGACTAATGGTAAGGTACCTCATAGGACTTTGTAAGGTGAAGTTGGTACCAGATAATATATAGAAGCACCAATGCAGTCACTCAGGTATCCCTATATGTAACAGCTCAATGATTCCATGTAACTATATGATGTGAGCGCCGCTGGAGGGATCGGTTCTAATGGTAAGTCTGACATAATGTTCTAGTATGCAGTGCATACTAGCACAATACGTGTCATTCTGTCTGGCCTAGCTGTAGTTAAATAAAGCTCGCCAGGAGCAAAATAAACATCCAATAGTGTATTATTTATTAAGTATCAAGTGAATAAAAGGACATATAGCAAAATATGTCAGCTTACATGAACAGCTGCTGCCAACCTGGGTTCTCACAGCGCTGTGACGTCAGAACTGTAAACTCCTCCCCCGACGCGTTTCATCCAATGGGACATTATCAAGTGGTAATGCAGTGTTGACATCTCACATATTTATATAGTATCGTGTGTCCGCCCTCTTCCTGTAAATCAATCAGGGATCGGAATTTGAGGGATAAATTAGCCCCAAATATAGTCCACTCCCCATTGAAATCTGAATTTTCTAAGGATCTAAAGGGGTTTTATCCCTGTAACAAATGTGTTATTTGCAAAGTAGGAGGACATAGACACAAGGAACAGACCAATTTTTTCTCATTTAGTACAGGTAGAGAGTACAATATAGACTTGTGGTAGTCAATACGTAGGCAGAACCACGAGACGTTTGAGGGAACGTCTTGGAGAACATGTGTATAATATCAAATGTGGATTCAAATATCATAGCCTTTCAGCACACTTTAGAGAATTCTATAATAAAGATCCGAGGAAGATTAGGTTTGTCAGAATAGACAAACTAGAACCTCACTGGAGAGGTTGCAATAAAAATAGAGAAGTCTCACGGTTAGAGAAATGCGATGGATTTATGAACTTAGGTCTTTTGCTCCCTTTGGTATGAATTCAGATGGGGATATTAATTGTTTTATAGATACTAAATAAACATGGTAAGAATTTTTAGTTTATGTTTTAACCCATATGAATTATGTTGTGATTTCTGCCGATTATATTTGCCTAGGGATCTTTCACTTTTATGTATTAGAGGTCTTTTTTACAATGTTGTATAATTTATTTTGGAATGTTATGTGTTTATAGTGGAACGTTCCCGTCCTCTTTGTATTTTTTAATTTCATATTTTTTTATTTAGATTTTTGTCATTTTTGGGATATTTATAGTCCTGTTACTATTGAATATTTTTTATTTATTATTATTTTATATTTATTTTTTATTATTGGTTTGTATTACTGTATTAAATATTTAGCTTTTTACTAATTATGTTTTCTGGTATAGAGCATTCGTCAAAGTGGTGGTTTTTGTCCTTTTTAGGCTGCCCTATTTTTAGTTTCTGTCTACGTGGGTAATTTACTCATTGACTCTTTGTCAGGGATGCGGGTGTGACCAGAAGTGTGTGGACTGACACAGGGAAATGCAAGCTTCAGATATGGTATAAATAAGACAATTTATTAAAGACTAACAATACAAACATAAACGCAGTGCACCAAACCCCAAGCTAACACAAATACATACAACAAGGTGAAACAAACCTAAACTGATACAGATACACAGGTACATACACATATAGAGCACAACGTAATCAGGCAGGCCGGGTCGATAACTATCGGGCAGGTAGGTACAGGAGGAGCAGGCGGAGAGAATGGTCAGGGTCACAAGCCAGGGATCAAAACAGGAGAAGTCAGCAGAGGTCAGGATCAGGCCGGGTCGGCAACAAGTCAGGCAGAGGCAGGAACAGTAACGCAGGTTACAAGATACAGGGGCCCATGGAAAAACACACACCAAGGCCCAGACTGCAGGTCTGGCCATCCCTTAAATACACCTGCAATCAGCCCCAGGTGATGGCTAATTGCCGAAGTGAACCTCTGCTTGCTGAGAGCACCCGCTGGCCAGCCCTGGTACTGCAGCCCACAAGGCAGGTGAGTCCCACCATTACTGGCAAGTCCATTCCTGACAGTACCCCCCCCCTCAAGGAGAGGCCTCAGGACGCTCCAAACAGTCCTAGCTGGGCAAACTGGCGGGTCTGGTAACTGGCGGAATATCAAAGACTGGCACATTGGGCAGGACTCCGGGCAGAGGCACATCGGGCAGGACTCCGGGCAGAGGCACATCGGGCTGGACTCCGGGCAGAGGCACATCGGGCTGGACTCCGGGCAGAGGCACATCGGGCTGGACTCCGGGCAGAGGCACATCGGGCTGGACTTCGGGCAGAGGCACATCGGGCTGGACACCGGGCAGAGGCACATCGGGCTGGACACCGGATCACCAGGAGGAGCGGCATGCACAGGGCCCCCAGGCAGAGCGGCGGGTGCCGGGCCCCCAGGAGGAGCGGCGGGTGCCGGGCCCCCAGGAGGGGCGCCGGGCACCCAGGCAGGGTGGCGGGCGCCAGGCCCCCAGGAGGAGCGGCGGGCGCCGGGTCATCAGGCACAACAGCGGGCATCGGGTCACTAGGCATCAGGTCACTTGGCTTGCCAGCGGGCACCGCGTCATCTGGCAAGGCAGTGGGCACCGAGTCACCAGGCACGACAGTGGGTTCCGAGTCAACTGGCATGACCGCGGGCACTGGGTCAGACATTGGATCGTCTGGCTCGACAGCGGGCATCGGGTCACCAGGCATCAGGTCATTTGGCTCAACAGCGGGCACCGCGTCATCTGGCAAGGCAGTGGGCACCGAGTCACCAGGCACGACAGTGGGCTCTGAGTCAATTGGCACGACAGCGGGCACCGGGTCATCAGGTACCGGATCGGCTGGCTCGACAGCGGGCATCGGGTCACCAGGCATGACAGCGGGCACTGGGTCATCGGGCATTGGATCGTCTGGCTCGACAGCGGGCATCAGGTCACCAGGCATGACAGCGGGCACCGGGTCATCAGGTACCAGATCGTCTGGATCAACAGCAGGCACCGGGTCATCTGGCATTGGATCGGCTGGCTCGACAGCGAGCATCGGGTCACCAGGCATGACAGCGGGCACTGGGTCATCAGGTACCGGATCGTCTGGATCGACAGCGGGCACCGGGTCATCAGGCATTGGATCATCTGGCTCGACAGCGGGCATCGGGTCACCAGGTATGACAGCGGGCACTGGGTCATCAGGCGTGATAGGATCATCAGGCTGGATCAGTTCATCAGGCTGGGTACAGACATCAGGCTGGGTAGAGACATCAGGCTGAAGTGCGGGTGCCGAGGCACCAGGCTGAACCACGGACGGAAGGCAGGTTCTTGGACGGCAGGCTCACCGGTTTGGATACTGGCAGGATGGTACTGGTTGGAAAGAATTTTCGCTTTTTTCTGGTTTTAACTATTGGTGCACTGCAAGTAAACGCAGGTCTGCAAACGAATGGAGCAGCTGAGGACAGAGAAGAGCTGGAAGATGGAACAGAGGAGGGAGCAGCCGCCACAGAGGACCTCTCCACAGGGCCAAAGAAAGGATAGGTGCAGCGAGTGGGAGCAGGGGATATAAATATTTTTTTATTTATTATTATTTTATTTATTTTTTATTATTGGTTTGTATTACTGTATTAAATATTTAGCTTTTTACTAATTATGTTTTCTGGTATAGAGCATCCGTCAAAGTGGTGGTTTTTGTCCTTTTTAGGCTGCCCTATTTTTAGTTTCTGTCTACGTGGGTAATTTACTCATTGACTCTTTGTCAGGTATGCGGGTGTGACCAGAAGTGTGTGGACTGACACAGGGAAATGCAAGCTTCAGATATGGTATAAATAAGACAATTTATTAAAGACTAACAATACAAACATAAACGCAGTGCACCAAACCCCAAGCTAACACAAATACATACAACAAGGTGAAACAAACCTAAACTGATACAGATACACAGGTACATACACATATAGAGCACAACGTAATCAGGCAGGCCGGGTCGATAACTATCGGGCAGGTAGGTACAGGAGGAGCAGGCGGAGAGAATGGTCAGGGTCACAAGCCAGGGATCAAAACAGGAGAAGTCAGCAGAGGTCAGGATCAGGCCGGGTCGGCAACAAGTCAGGCAGAGGCAGAGGCAGGAACAGTAACGCAGGTTACAAGATACAGGGGCCCATGGAAAAACACACACCAAGGCCCAGACTGCAGGTCTGGCCATCCCTTAAATACACCTGCAATCAGCCCCAGGTGATGGCTAATTGCCGAAGTGAACCTCTGGTTGCTGAGAGCACCCGCTGGCCAGCCCTGGTACTGCAGCCCACAAGGCAGTGAGTCCCACCATTACTGGCAAGTCCATTCCTGACAGTACCCCCCCCCCCCCTCAAGGAGAGGCCTCAGGACGCTCCAAACAGTCCTAGCTGGGCAAACTGGCGGGTCTGGTAACTGGCGGAATATCAAAGACTGGCACATTGGGCAGGACTCCGGGCAGAGGCACATCGGGCAGGACTCCGGGCAGAGGCACATCGGGCTGGACTCCGGGCAGAGGCACATCGGGCTGGACTCCGGGCAGAGGCACATCGGGCTGGACTCCGGGCAGAGGCACATCGGGCTGGACTTCGGGCAGAGGCACATCGGGCTGGACACCGGGCAGAGGCACATCGGGCTGGACACCGGATCACCAGGAGGAGCGGCATGCACAGGGCCCCCAGGCAGAGCGGCGGGTGCCGGGCCCCCAGGAGGAGCGGCGGGTGCCGGGCCCCCAGGAGGGGCGCCGGGCACCCAGGCAGGGTGGCGGGCGCCAGGCCCCCAGGAGGAGCGGCGGGCGCCGGGTCCATCAGGCACAACAGCGGGCATCGGGTCACTAGGCATCAGGTCACTTGGCTTGCCAGCGGGCACCGCGTCATCTGGCAAGGCAGTGGGCACCGAGTCACCAGGCACGACAGTGGGTTCCGAGTCAACTGGCATGACCGCGGGCACTGGGTCAGACATTGGATCGTCTGGCTCGACAGCGGGCATCGGGTCACCAGGCATCAGGTCATTTGGCTCAACAGCGGGCACCGCGTCATCTGGCAAGGCAGTGGGCACCGAGTCACCAGGCACGACAGTGGGCTCTGAGTCAATTGGCACGACAGCGGGCACCGGGTCATCAGGTACCGGATCGGCTGGCTCGACAGCGGGCATCGGGTCACCAGGCATGACAGCGGGCACTGGGTCATCAGGCATTGGATCGTCTGGCTCGACAGCGGGCATCGGGTCACCAGGCATGACAGCGGGCACCGGGTCATCAGGTACCGGATCGTCTGGATCGACAGCGGGCACCGGGTCATCTGGCATTGGATCGTCTGGCTCGACAGCGGGCATCGGGTCACCAGGCATGACAGCGGGCACTGGGTCATCAGGCATTGGATCGTCTGGCTCGACAGCGGGCATCAGGTCACCAGGCATGACAGCGGGCACCGGGTCATCAGGTACCAGATCGTCTGGATCAACAGCAGGCACGGGGTCATCTGGCATTGGATCGGCTGGCTCGACAGCGAGCATCGGGTCACCAGGCATGACAGCGGGCACTGGGTCATCAGGTACCGGATCGTCTGGATCGACAGCGGGCACCGGGTCATCAGGCATTGGATCATCTGGCTCGACAGCGGGCATCGGGTCACCAGGTATGACAGCGGGCACTGGGTCATCAGGCGTGATAGGATCATCAGGCTGGATCAGTTCATCAGGCTGGGTACAGACATCAGGCTGGGTAGAGACATCAGGCTGAAGTGCGGGTGCCGAGGCACCAGGCTGAACCACGGAAGGCAGGTTCTTGGACGGCAGGCTCACCGTTTGGATACTGGCAGGATGGTACTGGTTGGAAAGAATTTTCGCTTTTTTCTGGTTTTAACTATTGGTGCACTGCAAGTAAACGCAGGTCTGCAAACGAATGGAGCAGCTGAGGACAGAGAAGAGCTGGAAGATGGAACAGAGGAGGGAGCAGCCGCCACAGAGGACCTCTCCACAGGGCCAAAGAAAGGATAGGTGCAGCGAGTGGGAGCAGGGGACTGGTATGTGGTTGTTAGCAGAGTATACTGGGCCGTCACTGGGGGTGCTGTCGGGGATGCAGGAAGAGTGCCTTGAGCAGAGGAATGACGTTGCAAGCTGACTGAGGCTGGGTGCAACAAGTCTGACCATGTCTGCAGTATGGGTTGAACAAAGCTGAGTTTACACAAAGCCTGTCTGGTCAAAGACTGCACTGCGTTTATACAATCCCTTAATACCTGTGGTGAACATGCAGCATAATGCTCCAAGAAGCAATCCACATCATCCTCTAATAACCATACCAGGGACTCTACCTGGTCTGCACTAAATGGTGGCAAAAAGTCATTCCTGCTTTCAGGGGAACCAGATGAAGCCAACTCTACACAAACCTGAATCAAAGGTTGCACCTCAGAGAACTCTGTGCCCTGATCTACTAGAACATGAGTGATCCGTATACATTCTAGCAGTTGATCCCGGGTATACTCCCTCAGAGTCTGATAAGCATATTCTCTGTCATCAAAAACCAGCAGCGACAAATACACAACCTCATCAAGATCCATCCTTCCCAGCAACAAGCCAAGATGGCTTCCCTGTGCAGCCACTTCTGGTCAGGATTGGCCTTGGTGTAATGTCAGGGATGCGGGTGTGACCAGAAGTGTGTGAACTGACACAGGGAAACGCAAGCTTCAGATATGGTATAAATAAGACAATTTATTAAAGACTAACAATACAAACATAAACGCAGTGCACCAAACCCCAAGCTAACACAAATACATACAACAAGGTGAAACAAACCCAAACCTAAACTGATACAGATACACAGGTACATACACATATAGAGCACAACGTAATCAGGCAGGCCGGGTCGATAACTATCGGGCAGGTAGGTACAGGAGGAGCAGGCGGAGAGAATGGTCAGGGTCACAAGCCAGGGATCAAAACAGGAGAAGTCAGCAGAGGTCAGGTTCAGGCCAGGTCGGCAACAAGTCAGGCAGAGGCAGGAACAGGAACGCAGGTTACAAGATACAGGGGCCCATGGAAAAACACACACCAAGGCACAGACTGCAGGTCTGGCCATCCCTTAAATACACCTGCAATCAGCCCCAGGTGATTGCTAATTGCCGAAGTGAACCTCTGGTTGTTGAGAGCACCCGCTGGCCAGCCCTGGTACTGCAGCCCACAAGGCAGGTGAGTCCCACCATTACTGGCAAGTCCATTCCTGACACTCTTTGTAAGATGGCAGTACCACTATTTCTGGCCTTTTTTAAGATGGAGGCTCCGTGCATACGGTTCCAGTTAGAAATCTAACAATAACCCATCCCAAGATGGCGTCGTGATCATTTCCGGTTTTTCTAAGATGGATGTTTTGCACTTCCGGTCCCTAATTGATGTACAGGAAGAGGCATACACGCGATACTATATAAATATGTGAGACATCAACACTGCATTACCCCTTGATAATGTCCTGTTGGACGAAACGTATTGGGGAGGAGTTTACAGTGCTGACATCAAGCCGCTGCGCGATCCCAGTCAGCAGTGGCTCGTCATGTAAGCTGACATCTTTTGCTATATGTTCTTCAGTTTTATGTACTTTTATTCACTTGGTATTTAATAAATACTATTTGTTTAGTTAATTTTGTTCCTGGTGAGCTTTTTTTTTCACCACAGACCGGCCTGACAGAATGACACATATTCACAGAGACTCATGTCAAGACATATGCGTTCCTGCTTTAATATATGGGCGTTTATGCTGTTGTAGTGGAAGCCATAATTTCTGATGAGTTTTTAATTCACTGGGAGATGCTGACGGCAATTATTGATTGGAGTGGTTTTGCTACAAGCAAGAGCACTATATGGTGGTGGATGGACATGATTTCAACACATTCTTAATTCATTTTTGTTTGCACCATTTTTTTACCTCAGACATTTATCTAATCTTATTATATGTTTAGTTCTACACTTCACATTTTCAGTCACTATATACAGTGAAGGAAATAAGTATTTGATCCCCTGCTGATTTTGAATGTTTGCCCAGCATGCCCCGGTCAATGATGTCACACAGGGCGTTGTCACGGGTGGCCCCGCTCCTTACATATTTAAGAACTGTCAAGCCAGTGGAGTAGTCAGACAGCGCACCTCTTATTGAAGAGAGAGGTCCTTCACCTGTCTCTTTCGCCCTCCCTCCAAAGGACGGGCTCCCTTACCATTCTTGGTGCCAGCTAATGCATTTTTGGGTATCCCACTCTGCTTGATATCAGGTATATTTAATTCTTTGAGAATGTAAATTCTATATGCTGCTGGCCCGCTACCAGTAGCTGAAGCTTTATATGCACATTGTTTTTGTATGTTAATGCTATGTGGCATGTGCCACTTTATTTTTGCTGGATAAATGTTTCCTAAATAAAGATTACATAAAAAAAAAATTGTAGGACAGACTTTATCATTTGATTATCCAATAACTACCATTATGTATACAGTATATACTCCCAAAGATACACAAAGATCCTTTAAATTCTCCTGGTCACTTCATAGTGTCCAGTACTGAGTCTGCTAATTGCCAGATATTTGGACAATTGTTTATTAGCATTAATACTAGAAACTAAATCTTATATAAGAGATACCCAACATTTTCTGGGCAAAATTAAGGATGTTAAAACCAACACAAGATGGCAGTGTCATGCAATTCAGCGGCACTCACACTCTGCAGAGCAGCCCCATGGACCGTGTATGCTGACTTTGCTGGGGGGCAGTGCATCAGAGGACTCTTTTTTTTTTTTTTTTTTTTCCCCCAGAAGAGCTGGCGTGTGGGCGGGGCAGATATATACAGAAGCCCAGGAGGCTGGACAGGAAGTGAGAGGGGAGAGAGGTGGAGAGCAGAAGCAGAATGAGAGTTGTGCTGACTGCTGGGGAACCGGACCAGGCCGCAGAGATGGAGAGAGGCACAGAAGAGTCACTGACCACTAGCCTTTCTGCCCTGTTCAGCGGGTGACCCAGAACGCAGTGACTGGACAATGAGACCGGACAACCTATAGGGGTTCCCATCCGCAAAGAGAGAGAGACAGCCCCCGAACCTATTGGAGCCAGCAATTGGGCAAAAGATTCCCATACACCAGACAAACAAGTGAACAATGACATTCTCCTTATATCTGCTACTTTACCTGCACCCAGTTGCTGACATTGCATCCAGGTTAACACGTATTGCTGCCTAGTTGCCAAAGCCACTACTGTTGAACAATTTGCAGTCCAATCATAAGAGCTGACCGCAGTGTACATCTTCTGTAGGCCATATCACATCTGTGTTCCCTTGACCATTGGCCTATCCTCTTAAAGTATGCAGTCTCCCAAAAGAAAAAAAAAACTCTCTAGCAATACACACCAAACTGAGCATGTGCAGTGTCTCCACACAATATGTTTTATCAGGAGAAAAGAGGGAGACACTGGAAGAAGGATCAAATATCCTTTTTACACAATGCAGAGTGTTCACCCCTTAGGTTCCACAGTGAGTCTAACAAGCATGTTTTACTGCATACAAACTGATTTTACTGTTATGGGTTTAGAAACACTTTAAAGGAACATCTACTACCATTGCAATTGATTACTGCAGCCCAGAGTGGAGTTACCCTTTGCCAACTAACACTACTACCAGTTTTGACATGCTATTTGCCTAAAGCTGCGTTTTTTCTTAGTACATTAAAGGAGAAAACACCCAAGTCAAGTGGCACTTAAAGGGAAAGTACTTGTATTTTCTTCTTCCTCTCCCTCTCACCTTCATCTCTTCATACTTGTGCACCAACTGGGCCCCAACAAGCACACAGATTAATCCTCACTACATGTAAAGGGATATTTACTGCTCTGGTCAAAGATCTCTTTCTGCAGTTGACATGACCTCCGGTTGAAAGTATTGGTAAATTCTGAAAAGCAGGCCTGCTAACACTGATAGCGATTCTGCTGTATGTGTTTCTTTGCTTAGAGTCGCTAAGAGTAATAATTGCCATTTCACGTACCAATATTATTTTGCACTGTTTACCAAGCTTACATTGTTTAACCACTTGCCCTCTAGAGGATTTACCCCTCTTAATGACCAGGCCTCTTTTTGCTACTCGGCGCTGCACTAATTCAACTGATAATTGCGCGGTCATGCAATGCTGTACCGAAACGAAATTTACGTCCTTTTTTCACACAAATAGAGCTTTCTTTTGGTGGTATTTGATCACCTGTGCACTTTTTATTTTTCTCGCTATAAACAAAAAAAAACTAAAATTTTGAAGAAAAATTATATTTTTTTACTTTTGGCTATAAAAAATATATAGTAAAGTATATAGTTAGTTATAAATTTAGACCAAAATGTATTCTGCTACATGTTTTTGGTAAAAAAAAAAAAAAAATCCCAATAACTGTATATTGATTGCTTTGTATGAAAGTTATAGCGTCTACAAACTATGGTATAGATACTGCAATTTACGCCATTTTTTTTTGCTATACAGCGCTGCACTAGTTTAACTGACAATTGCGCAGTCATGCAATACGGTACATAAATTAAATTTATGTCCTTTTTTCACACAAATAGAGCTTTCTTTTGGTGGTATTTGATCACCTGTGCGATTCTTATTTTTGGCGCTATAAACAAAAAAGTTTTGAGCAAAAAATTTTTTTTTGAAAAAAAAATATATCCAAAAAAACAAAAATTTCATCATAAATATAGGCCAAAATGTATTCTGCTACATGTTTTTGGTTAAAAAAATCCCATTAAGTGTATATTGCTTTGTGTGAAAGTTATAGCTTCTACAAAATATGGTATAGATAATGGAATTTACACAGCTTTTCCTTTCTGACTGCTCATC